GAAAGCCATTGAGCACACCCTTACTCTAACCCTTCTGGATGTAGGTAATACAGTCCTCGTCCTCGTGGCTCCTATTGCTTCCAAGGAATATTGAAGCCTCATTGACATTGAAAACCCAGCAATGTATCAATGACCAACAAAACAACTGGAAATTTAACCATAAAAGTGGATCCATTTCCTGGTTTTGCTTCCTGGACAAATTCAAAGCTGAATCTTGAAAATGGTTGAGACTTTCCATGAAAACTTTTTACTGTGACGTCAATTTGCCTGTCGATTTGTAGAAGAGGTCAAAGTGGAACCAGAAACAAACCACATGTTTAAATTAAGGCCCTCGAATTGGCGATCCTTCTTGAAGCATTCCCCATGTCAGAGAGCCCTTACCCGAAATGTCAAGGCACCTGCTTGATTTTGAACCACTTAATACTTCTAATATTGGTGAAAAATAGGGAACTCCACCAAGACTTTTCTCCTTCAAGTTCCAAATCCCAACATTCTTTCGAAGAGCTACATTCACCATTCTTCACAATTTCACAGCTGCCTTTGCGTTGATCAGGTAATTCACAATTGAAATAAAAAATGAATCTCCTACCATTACCAACAGATCACCGTCAAAATGCTTGCATTTCAAGTGCTTTAATATGTAAGATAGTATATCTACAAGATTGTACATTAAGACTGACAAAAAAAGGTCCCGCTCATCACAGTACAGTGCTGAATGTACACACGCAGCCATGCACCAAACATGACTGTTGCTATCTTGATTAGCGGTGTCTGATCAGAAACATGACACGTGCACCGGTTGCTAAAAATGGCAAAGGGATGCAGCCGCCACGGTGTCACCCCTTTATGCACATCCTTGTTAAGTTCATTTCCATTTTTACAGAGATTCTCATTGGAGGTACAGGTATCACAACCGTGAGGAAGTGTGTAGCTCAAGTCATCAAGAGGCCTTCTGCGTTTAAGAAATCATCACTACCAAAATGTTGTCCCCACATTTGGAGGCACGACCTGCGATCTTGCTGGTGAGATGGTGAGACTAATAAAACTCAGATTAGGAGTAACTTGTATTTTCAAGAGAATTATGCGTACCGATTTCAAGCACTAAAATAAATACACCTAATGTAAGTTGATTAGGGCTTTTGGAATTACCCTGTAGTTAAGTAAATAAAACAAGAACTCACAATCCCTTTGCATTCACACAGCTTAATTATCAATCTCCAGAGTGAATTTGTGGACTTGAGAAAAAAAGTAACTTCGGCTGATTATATTTGCAGAAAAGAGCGCGCACACACGTACAGATACACACGCACAAATAGTCACACGCAAAACAAGCCTGACTAGTCTGCTTTGAATAAGAAGAAAGCATGAAGAAGCAGATATCGATAATGCCTGACGAGTGGTAAAATAAAATGGAAGTAAATCAAGTCGCCCAAATTGCTTCCTCACGTGGTGTAGGTGCGTGCGAAGTTGTCATGCATATGATGCAGAGAAGGAGCCTGCATTGAATTTGCATAAAGCAAAGATAGCATTCATCGAATCCGTGCCGGAGGAGGTGGCGGTGGGTGTGGTCGGTGCCTTCGCCTCTCCTCAGGTATGTTGAGGTCGGCTAGGAGGGAAGAAAACTCTGACAACTGCTGATACTCCGAATGGGGTGGTGGCGGTGGTGGTACTTGCTGTGACGGAGTGAGCGGACCCGAATCTCCGCCACGCGCAGAGATGGGTCGAAAAGCGCAAGCGTCAGGCGCCTGTTCGAAATGTGCAGGGTGTACTGAGGCACCACCTCCACGGAAGAAAGCAGCTGGATTGGAGGAGGACTGGGGTGCATCAAGGAGGGGACAGGGCAACATCTCGGGCATGACAGTGAGGTGGAGGATAAGGCAAGCCAGGGAAGGCCATTCCTTCTCTAGCCCCTTTAAACGTACGCCTGTGGCAGTGCGTTGGATCAAATAATGGCTTATTCCCCCACCACCACTATTAGCGCCTCCGGCAAGGGCGGTACGCGGTGCCATACCAGCGGAAAGACAGCGCTCAGCTGCAGCAGTGGGGTGCAAATGAACAGCTTCACCTTCGTTCCCGCCGACACGCACCGAGAGGGCGTAGCAGTTCGAGTGGGTACCGCTATCACGAACCACAAAACTACCCGGCTAAAACAGAGACCATTGATTAATAGTTAACTCACTCTTTAATACACTTGCTTTTCAGGAAAGCAATTATCAGAGTTTGGTGAATATCATTTAATTGTATGAACATATGAAGTGGAGCTACCGCCACTACCACCACTGCAGATTTGCAAGTAAACTATGATCATAAACTCATGAAGATGAATTTTCCATCAGTTATCCAATTCATAGCTATTAAAAATGAAACAAATGCAAAATGACAATTTTCAGTCCTTAAAAACTAGCCTCACAATGCTACTGAATCCTCTAACTGACGAGTAGTCGATATCGAAGTTCACTGTACACTCCGTGTGTCGGCCATATGCATTCCCCTTCAGAGAGGCCCCAAACTGTTATTGCAAATATGATTGAAAAAAGTCCCAACCTAATTTATACTAATGGATAGTGGAACTTAGCAAGGTGGAAAAGAGGACGCATTAAGGATAGAAAAATCGGTGTCGACTCCTGTTGAAAGGTCTGCGAATGATGTCTGCTTTAAGCAACTACCACCATTGAAAGATGAAGCGGTCTTAGCTGAAGAGTTCGTTATACAGCAGTCTATGACGTCTGTATGAGGATGGCCACAATGAAAATACGCTATACTTCACCTGAAGTTAGTATAGTGTAATATAGTGTAGTGCAGTATAGTGTATAGTATAGTATAGTGTAGTGCAGTAGCGCTGAAATGAGAACAGCGTGGCAAGGGGAAATAGACGCAAGGTCCCGACCCTACGAAACCTATTTTATTCCTCTCCATGGGTCACTTCACTTTAAAAACAGTTTCCACAACTAGTTATGAACACTCATGACGGTGAACACAGGTTTCGATGCACAAATCCAGCTCTCCTACACAACAAAACTTTAGATCCAATAGAACTCCCAAGAAGGATCAGTAAAAATGCAGTCGGGTAACGTTTCAGTTGCGTAGAAAGTCGGCAACTGATTCGTGAGTTACTTACAGCATCAATTACGTCATATTAGTTTAATCCTCGGTTTTTGTGACAGACCACCTACAGGCTTCGTCATTGAAATTGAACTGGGTGCTCTAGCTTTCATGATCCTCATTCTGGATTGACAATGCATTGTACAGCCAAACATCGTTTCTGTTCGTCCTCAAGAAAGTTTCGTAATACTACATAAGAGAAGCAATGCAGCCAGGATCCGAAATTGCATTCAATTAGGCATGAAGTAAGCAAATAAGTTAGCAGAGTACCCTAGTAGAAATGAAACGATCATGAAAAGCCTCTATAGGTTCTCGATTGGTTGAAACGGTCATAAATGAGGCGCAATCTTATAATGCCCTTCACCCTTGAAGGCTACATGATCTGTGCTAAAAATATCCGGATAGTGACTGGAAAAGATGACCACAACTAAGGCATTATGACAAGTTGGACTCACACTCTATAGGTCCAAACATTTGACCTTCAATATGGGAGGGTAATACAGAACAAGGTTGAGCAATGCACATTTACCTGCACATTACAAAGTTCCCCACCTTTCACAAGTCTCTACATATTTCGAGTGGTTAATGTAGCAAATTTAGCTACCTGACAGACGCACAGTGTTTTTTTCTTTTCATGGTGGCGATGGGATTGTCAACCATCCTTGCTGATTCGTGAATTGTGACTCTTGAGGTAGAGTAGTGGAGAAAGTGTAGGTGTAGAAAAATTACACTAGTGTGCAAGAGGAGGCCACCGAGAGTAGGGCAGATGACAGGATAAAAAGGCGAAAGTATTCCCAAAGAGAGAAAGAAGAGAGTAAAATGGGAATTTGGCTGAGTCACTGTGATGCCACACCCGTACATCCCAAAAAAAAGTTAAATATCAGCTTGATGAACAACAGACTTAAAATGTGTGGACCTTCAGGTATAGGGAACTGGGTAAAAGATTAGCCGCGCTTGCCGAGAAGTTTAAATGCTTTCAAATTCAGAAAACAATTGGAAGCGTCCAGCATGCTTTTTGCCTTACGGTAAGGAGTGGAACCCTATTCTTGACACAGTAAATTAATATTCCAAAATCACTGAAACACTTTTTGAAACTATACCCAGTTGATTAGTGATTGGAACTTTGTAACTTTTCAACGCTATAACAGTCTGCCTAAGCCTTCCTTTTAACAACATCGGCACCTCAGTGATGCTTGTTTTGTATAAGGCCCAACAGCACGGCATGTGATGAGGATGGAG